TTTTTCCCTCCCTCCAAATCTTGAATGAGATTAATGTTTGTCTTTAAGCGCCCAGGCGAGATTATTATTATTTTCCCCCCTTCAAACGCCATCTTGATAATGCGGTTTCGAGGGGGAGGTGGGCGGACTTTAATTAAATCACGGTCTCTTGATTCTTATGTTGATTCTTATATTGTGATTGTCGAAGTTTTTTTTCTGGGGTGAGGTGTCGCCGGTATAGGGACAGAGGCCTGTTTGGTAGTTTGGTTATTATTTACGAAAACACGCAGAATACTTAGTTTTTACGTGAGATTCTAAAGTAAGAGACTGAAATGAAGTAATGAATACTGCAGATTAATAATAGTAATAAATATCAATTTTACGTATGTATACGCAATATAGACCGCGAGTTCTAAGAAATAGAATTGAAATGTAAAAAAGGGCATTGGCGATAAAAATGCCTGTTCAGATATTAACGAGCTGATCAAAGCGGAACGTCGAAACTGTGCACATATTATTTTCTCTAAATATCAACATCATCTTTCACATGCATGTGAAAGATTCAGACGCAAATAACCAGAGAATGCTGTATTTTATGAGTGGCAGACTGATATCAACAAAGAACACACACGTGTTCAACCATCTTTCTCTCTTACTCTTACTCACTCACACTCTCTCTCTCTCTCTCTCTCACCATGCCCCTCCCTTCCCCACAGCAAAACCTAGGATTAATCTTCAGCCTCTCGGCACTGGTCATGGCGACGACGATGGCACTGTCGCTAGCACACCCGGGCTACAACTTCCCCCCTGAGGTGCTCAACGACCCGCCCATGCCCTACCGCGACGACCCGGAACGACCCGCATACCAGCCCGCGAGTGGCTTCAAGAGGGGCTTCTGGGAGAAACGGGCGGGGACGCAGGCCTCGCGCGACGGCTTCGACACAGAGCTCGAGGTGGCCGACTACCCCGTGCAGGTGAGGGGTCGAGGGGCGGGCGGCCATGCAGGTGAGGGGGGCGAGGGGCGGGCGGCCATGCAAGTGAGGGGGCGAGGGGCGGGCGGCCATGAAGGGGGTGACAGTGATAAGGGCGATGTCAGTAAGAGGCCTAGACAGACGCATGCAGACGCACACGCGTAGACACATACACACAGCGTCTTCCGTGTGCATTTATATCCCCTGGTAAGTGGGATTTTTCTTTGTGTATTTGTACTGGGAGTCGCTGGCAGTGGGAGTTTTCATTACTTATATCAAGACTCCTCCCTGCAAGTCTATATCATATTTTTCTTTTGTTTCTGTCTTTCGCCTTTTCTTCATTTTTTTCTTTCTGTTCAACTGTCCAGTTGGAATGTTTACAGGGGATAGACGCATTGATCGATGAGCGAAATATATGCTTTAAGGACTAAATATTGATATGCCTTTCTGATGTCAAATTGTATTGTACAAAGAATATCTGCTTGGCCGTAAGCAAAAATGCGGTTCCTTCTCTTCCTCACTCTCCCCCTCCTCCTCTTGTTTCCTTCTTTTCCCTTTTCTTAGGATAAGTCAACATTTTATTTATAATTATTTTCTTGCCATGCACTTCATTTGCCAAAGAGATTAGGAAAGTGGTAAAGCATGGTTAAAAATATGACCAATGAATTAAAGAACAGAACAAGATCTTATTACGTTTCGAACAAAATGTTATCACGCAACAAAATGCGAATACTTTGATAACAAGTTTAAGCAATGTCTCAGACAAAACCTCAATGATATGCATGACAAATGACAAAAGTCGATCATACTGTCCTAAAAGTGAACTCGACAGACACTCGAAATCTGCCACATACGTCCGCTCCATCCTAATCCTAGCATTCCTTTCCCGGCCCCCCTGCAGGAGGACTGGCTGAGGCGAGGCCGAATCCCCTCCGGACCCGCAGCGGACAAGCGCGGCTTCGGCTCCATGATGCCGCAGTACCTGGTCAACATGTACCGGCCGGACGTGCTCAACAACCTGCCCAAGTCCCTTTTCTCCCGTACTCGGCCCAGCACGGACCGCGGGAGGAGGTCCTACGATTAGATCCTTCGGCTGCAGCAACGGCGGCCGGGAGGGGCAGGCTGTCCCTTCCCGAGGGCGGAGGAGAGAGGGGCGTGGGGGCGGCGGATCCGGAGGCGCTGAGGCTGTGGCACGAACTCTACAAGGCTCTGCAGGCCTCGCAGACGACGGAGCAGGGCGCGCTGACGAATTCGTGCTGACGCGGCTGCCTCCTGACGCGCTGTGGGAGGGGGGAGGGAAGGGCCACACACTCATGACAAGAAGAAAATGGGTCTGAATCTTCACTCGAGTATTACTGTTTCGATCTTCGCAATAAAACACAGGTTGACTTGCGATGTGACGTCATCAGTGACGTTATAGTGTCAGGCACGACGTAATGCTGTGCTCGTGACGTCACATCCTCACCTGTACACATTCAGCAGATTGATGTCACTTTCCTTTGTTAACGTTGTCGCAAAAAACTATGAAAACTTTATATACAGATATCAAATAAAAGAACGGATGTTATTTTATGATATTCTATAAATACAAAACTCGATAACCTCACAGCAGTTCTTTCTTCATCATTACCCTATAAAAACTATTCTCATGTATTTAATTCACTCCTTGTCAGCCATGAGCCTAAATCCAATCTAAAATCCTGAATTCAGCGAAGACGATGAAGATGAAGAGAGAGAAGGGGGGAGGGGGCTCGTCTCAAGGAGCGTCTAGGACAAGGAAGAAAGGAGGAGAAGGAGATGGAAGAGGAGAAAGGGAGGAGGGAGGAGGAGGAGGGAGACGGAGGAGGAGGAGGAGGAGGAAGAGAAAAAGAAGAAGAAGAAGAAAAAAAGAAGAAGAAGAAGTAGAAGGAGGAGGAGAAAGAATAGGAGGCGAAGAAGAAGGAAGAGGAGGAGCAGCAGAAAGAGGAGGAAGAAGAGATAAAGGAGGAGGAGGAGTAGCAGCAACAAAAAAGAGGGAGGGGGAGGAGGAGGAGAATAAGAATAAAAATGAGGGAGGAGGAGGGAGGAGGATAAGGAGAAAGGGAGGAAGAGGAAGAGTGGTGAAAGAATAAGGAAATCACAAATACAAAAGACAGTGTGTTTTTTATTGGATATCTTTTCAGAAAATGAAAACAGTCATCAGTATTCAGTCTCCGTCTATGTAATTTTATTTGCATATTTTTTCTCCATTCATTCATAATGTATTTGGCTAATGCCCTAATACAATCTGATACTGCGACAAACAAATTTAAAACATATATGATATTTCAAAAATAATTATTCGACAGGGGATATTCATAACAAGATAAAAATAGCGTGAGTGTTGAAGAATAAGTCTTATATTTCGTGATTATCGGGGGAAAATCTGTCACAAAAAGGAGGTGGGAGGATTTTACCACGACGAGACCTGTAAAGGAATATGCAACTTGCATCTGCTTCTGATAGGCTCTTTAATCTCCCTATCTCTCTCTTTCTTCTTAACATTCTCTTGTTTGTATACTTCCGTCTTATTTATTTCCTCTCTCTTTCATTAATATTATTTATAAACCTATTGTCTCATTTATTACTCGTCAGCCTATAAACATTTTTTCCGTCTATTTCTCTCTCTCATTTAATATATTTCTCTATCTATCTACCCAATTCCCTCTCTCTCTCCCTCCAGTTAAACCAAATTCATCACGAAGGAATTATACAAGAAAATAATTACTTCGAATATGAATACCAGTTTCTGATTTTTTTTTAAAACTGAAAAGTCAAAAAAAATAGAAACAATCCGTGCGAAAAAAATAATGTTTTCTGCTTTTTCTTTGAAACATTTTTTTTTCTTACTTTATTCCCTCAACTATTCTACAATTCCCTTTTTCGTTTGCTGTTATGCAATTCATTTCGCTGTGAGTCTGAATGAAAATAACTTTGTAAATTTCCAATGCAATAGATCGATATTCCTGAAGTGTTTTATTTTACAAGAATAAATATCTCGCATATTTTTCAAAAATGTACGGTCGTCTGGAGTTCCTTAATTATCGATGAAATGTCATCTCTGAAAACTACATCGAAATAAAACATGGAACCGAAGGAAATGAAAGGTGGATTTGTGTGTGTGTGTCTGTGTGTGTTTGCGTGTGCGTTTGCGTGTGCGTTTGCGTGTGCGTGTGCGTTTGCGTATACGTGCGCATGTGCGTGTACGTGTACGTGTACGTGTACGTGTGTGTGTGTGTGTGTGTGTGTGTGTGTGTGTGTGTGTGTGTGTGTGTGTGTGTGTGTGTGTGTGTGTGTGTGTGTGTGTGTGTGTGTGTGTGTGTGTGTGTTTATCCATATGAATATACAATATATTTCTCCCCACACTTGTTCTCTCTTCATATATATACTATATATCTTGTCGAAGTGGTCGCCAGGGCCTTATAAAGCCAGCAGAGGCAGAAAAGGCCACGCCAGGGGCTGCCAAAATCTGATATACAATGGGTGTGTGAGATGAGCCCGAATAATAGCCGTGAGAACGTGGGCAAGAGCTGGGCATGGGGAGAGCGAGCCCTTAGAGCCCAGGATGGAGTCATCGTAGAAGCAAACGCCTCAGAGGTCGTTGTGTGGGCGAGGAAGGGCGTGGGGCGGGGGAGATTTGGGTAGTGTGGGCGGCCGAGGGTGTGTCGGAGAAGATGAGGGCAGTGTGGGCAGGGAGGGCACTCTGGGCGTGGGGCAAAAGGCAGATCGAGGGGTTGGCTGCGAGCGGCGGGAGTCAGTGTTGGTCAGACTGTCGTGGGGTACAGACTCGCCCGTAGCCCTCCCTCCCTCCCCCTCTCGCACCTTCGCGCCCCATCGCCCGCGCGTCTGTCTGTCTGTCTGTGTCTTCATCTGTCTATTTGGTTCTTAGTTTTTCTGTTTTTGATCCTTATTTTGTGACGCACTCCGAGAAAGGGGCGAAAATAAAGAAAGGGACGCTGTCTCTCACTGAAAGAAGGAAAGGGAAAGGAGAAGGATAAAGCCGAGAGGGAATCGGTAGTTGAATCGCCCGCG